AAAATAAAGAGACCAAAAAAATGCCCAACTCTAAAATGTGTCTAGTACCGGTAAACATAGTTTTAACTCGGTCGAACGCAGAATCTTGAAGAAACAGGGGTGAAAATTGGGGCAACATTGCATAGAAGACAGCATCCAGAAAATTTGAGTTTTGTGATAAATTTTTCTCTACTCATCAAGATCTGCATGCACTGAAAATTTCAAATTTTTCTGATAAGCCATTATCCAGAAATTCCCGCAAGAGGGAAGGGTACCACTAAATAGATTTTAATTTTTTAGATTTAAGTATATTGAAAAAAAAACGACAAAAATCATTTATCATTGTAGAGCTATTTTTTTAAGTCAAGACGACCGGAAGCTAAAACCGAGCTGCAAACATATTTATCTACTTGACTATAGCACGATCAAATCCTTCTGAAAGCATTTTGACTTTCGTTCACCTTCAACTGGGCATGATAATTCATTATGAATAGTCTTTCTATTTAATGTATACATACTAGATGTCCATGGAAAATCATCTAGTCGCCAAAGACGTAACGTTTGTATATTAGGCATATAAGTACTAAGAAAAGGTACAAGATTTTTGCCAATATGAATAGATTTGATTGAAGCACGATGACAACTGGGAACATTAAATTCAGCATATCGAACAGTATTCAATGCATTTTTTCTTAGTTCATCGGATGCCTAAAAGTCAAATGGAAAAAGTTATAAAACTGAAAATAATATGTTTGGTATGATAGTTCATATGTAGAATACGTGTGACATGTTTTTTATTTTCTTTTTCCGAAGGCAAACTATCAATAGAATGGTGAAATATTTTCTATCTCATTGGATTCATCAATTTTTGCAGCTTTCAATTATTCATTTGTTACATAATATATATGAAAGGAATCTATCTTATCTTTTTTACTCTTATTATTTCGAAATTCAATTAAAAAACCAATGTATGCTATGAATTTTTGTAGACCTTCGAGTTTACAATTTTTTTATATTGTGCTAATATTTTTTTTTTCTATAAAGTTCTTCATTTCTTCTATTATGTATTCGTTTATCCATAAAATAGAAAATCAATGGATATTGTTTCAGATTTATCTAAAAAGAAGAGGAAAATATTCTTAGAGAAACTGTGTTTTTCTATTTATCAATACTTCAGAATCGAATGTTGTAATCCTAAAACCAGACCAATTAACTGTTGGATATCAGAGAAGGCCCATGAGGTTTCGACATTGCCAGATCAATGATTCTGGTGCCAGAATCTGTTGATAACCGGCCGTACCTGATTCACCTGAATTTTCTTGAAGATAATGCTTAAGTTGATGCTCCAACGTGTACCCAGAAAATTTTGTAACTATATTTTTAGGTGAACTAAGATAATTTTCAAGTATTGTTGGATATTATAGCTTTGCATGCATGTGTGGTCATAAGATTGAACCGGAAAATCGCTCTTCTATATACAAAATCTCAGTTATAAAGTTTTTCTGTCTATACGATGGTACACCAGTTTAAGGAGTACCCTTTACGGTGTTCGACTATTCCATGTAAAAAAATTTCCTCAATAATCAATAAATAATCGATTAATTTCATTATAATTGATTTTTTGGGCGTGCGTGTGTTCAGGGAAATACCACATCCACACCCCACAAAGATAAAAGATACTTACATATTGAACCATATCCAAAAGCCATTTGAATTTATTTATTCGAAGGTATTTGAGTTGAATTGGCATTGAAATGAAATTGGCAAGTAGTCTTGCACGTGTTATATTTTCATCAATTGAATCGTTGGATGACGCTACAAAAAAAAAAGGTTTTATTTTCATTGTCTTTACTAGGATTTCATCTTGAAAGGAAACAAAAGAAAATATTTTAATCCATATTTTTTTTAAGATTAAAAGTTAACTTTCTAGTATCTACTATTTAAATAATACATTTAATCGAAAACTCTTAGCATGCATGCTTCAAAAAGAACGTGTACTCGTAAAGGATGTCCCTTAAACTCTGGATCCTAACGAAAATTAATTTTCATCAAAACAAAGATTGATTGATACTCAACTATATGTATACGACCTTCGAGTATTTAGGACAATGATTTACATGGCATTATTTCTTTTCAAAATAGTGGCATAAACAAGAAATATTCATCGCGAAGGAAAATTTGCCAGTGTCGCGATGGTTTTCAAGAAATTCTTTGAAAATCTCTTCCATCACTATATTAAATTAGCAGAGTTAGATTGAATCCATCGAATTCACCATAATCGTGAGTGTTGAATATGAATGTGGGTGGGTTAGAGGATCCTCCCTCTGCACTCATACTCACACTCAAAGCGAGTTCATACTCATGTAATATTGATCTCCCTAGAAGATGAAGCGACCGCTGCCGCAATAGTATTTTTGAAATATCTCCTGCACCGGGATACTTTTTCAAAAAACAAGTGTCGTTGGCACTGGTGCGGTAGCGACAGCATCACCACGAACATCTCTGATACAAACAGAAGTAACGTGATGCCTAAATCTCGAAATCAATCAACATTATTTTAAACGATCAAAAACAAAACAGATTTTATTTAGTAGAAGCACGCATTAGTCTAACAATAAAAAAAAAACTATCTTATTTAACAACCATCTATTGGTGTTCTATCAGTAATTATCAGTTTGCTAAGTCTATGAGAAATTTTATCAATCATTGTTTTAGAATAATCACATGTCATTTTTTTTCCTATTGGTTGTTCAATGTAGTTTTTACTTGTTTGAAATTTGAGAGTTCTTCTTGTCGCATTTTTTTCTGTTATTATTCCCCATACATAATCAATTAACTACACATCTGCAAATTTTACACCTTCATCATCAGATGAAAATCTTACATTACATAATTCATCAACATAATACGTGTCAGACGTCTTTCTTATTTCCTTATGCTAGTCTCGATCATATATTTAATTCTTCTCAATTCAGAAGATAAAAGTACAAACTCTTCGACTAAATAGAAAATCAACAGACACAAAATTAGACGAAAAATAATCTTGTATATATGAAAAGCTACGCATTCAAATCAATTCTAATTCCATTAACACTGTTCTGTGACATTAAAAAATATATACCATTCGAAAGAAATCATACAAACAGAAAACACTTTTAATATCGATCAGAAATATTTGATTCTTATCTTTGTTTACTCAATGATATCAAGTTGGATTGCATTATTAGTCAGTTCCATTCCTATTGTGCATTCATTTTCTTTGTCTATTGTGACACATACTATCTCAATAATAAGTTCACGTGAAACTGAAAATAATATTAAATTATTTAAAACTTTGAACCTTCGCAGTTAATTCTAAACTAGAATGGATGAGAAAAGTTAATATCATTAACATACACTACTGGCATTCATCACACGGAGCACTGAGATGATACATTCATAATTCTGTTTATGACAAGACTCGCATAAAACGGTAGAAACCAAGTTATACAACAATTTGCCGTGTTACAATTTCAAGCATTCAATTTGACATTATTTATCGAAGTTTAAAAACTTTAACTTCAAATAATTTACCTAACAAGGGAACATTCTCAACTGCTACGCGCTGTTTGAGCTCACCTTTTGTTGGTGGCTAGAATTGATTATACATATAAAATATCTAAAAGATTTCGTGCTATTGCTGCACGGTTTCAGAGTTACATACTCGGATCCGTGTTCTTTAAACTGATAATCGATCGTAATTGTCAACTTTTATATCCGAATTGATATTATGGATACGAACAGTCAACCTTAGGGTTGCAGCATTTTACTGAAAATGTCTTGTATTTTGATATTTTTCTAATCAGGTATGATCTTACAAAAAAAATTAAAACAACAAAAAAAAGACTATATGTTACTATATAATCCTATACAGATAATGAATCTTTTCTTTTCTTATAATAACTTTCAAAATAGCTAAAGAAAAATATTCTCAAAAGAAACTTCTACTAAATCTATGTATAGATTTTATTAAAAATAATTTCAGAAGCAAATATTTCATAAGTATCAATTATCTTCGTGATTTTAATCATGAATGTATAATCGACAAAATAAATTTCATTGTACTTTTATGAAATATTACGAAATAATATATAAACTTACCCGGACAACGACTTAAGCAGCAACCAAAGTCAAGGCTAACGACGTTTCGAAATTGAATATTGCTCAGTTTGCATTTTCCAATTTCAAATGGCGCTATCGATGATGCCAGTAAATCCAACACGTCATTATCTTCGTAATCTTCCATGAAAAAAAAGGTTTGATGTTAGATATCGATTATTTAATTTCACTGAGTTAATACTATAGATAAAATAATTATATGCTGATAAAGAAAATTCCTTTTTCATTTCATTTCGTTTCATATCAAAGGAAGTAGGATTTTTTCAATGGATTATATCCTTCTCTCCCATCGTTAATTTTTCGTTTATTTCACTATTTTTCGGTTGAGTGGTATGACTTTTAGGGCACTGCACATTCAAGTGTTTTCGAACCGGCCTTCGAAAAGAAATTCAAAAATTTACCTCCGCACCCGACCTGATCTAAACTCTAAGTTTTCTTCATCAATATTTGGCACCCTCCGTGTACATGAACGAATGTAGAATTAAGGTTTTAGCTATTTATTCACCTTTCAAAAAAAATTCTTGGACTCGAAACAAATGATACTGTTGTTTTTCATTGATATTATCAATAGAGAGATACGACTATCAAATCTCTATCGACAAGAGAAATCAATACGAAATTTCGCTTACACTGCACTTTAATAACTTTATTTACTTTTGAAATTAATACAAGAAAAAAAAATACTAACTCATATTAACTTTAATGCAAAAAGCATTAGGAAACAATTGATCAAATTGTTCGAGATATAGATAAAGACATGAATGTAAATAAATCGAAACATGCCGAATATATGGCCAATTTAAAAATTTGTTAAAATAACTAGAACATAATATTAAGTAAATTATGAAATTTTATATGTTCTCTTACATATAATTATTGAAGAATCGAGGTTTATAAATCATAGAAGAAGAAAGATATTGATCAGATTCTATTGGATCAAAAAAACATTTGACATTTGTCCATTGATGATCAATAAAAAAAGGATGAATTTTGAATGATTGAATTATTTTTTCAATATTATTTATTGGTAATTTACATTTAGATATAATACGAAAATTAAAATGAGTTAAATTGATAACTCTATCAGGCATACAATATTGACGAATAAAATTCGCATCAATAACAGAATTCCAAATGACGTTATCCGTTCCATACAAAGAACTATTAATCAGATGAATTTTCAGTTTTTCAACATGATTAACATTGTTTAGAATCCATTTTAAATAGGCAAATTCAAAATCATTATCAACGTAAGTTTTCAGTGTAAAACATTGTAAATTTGGTACCTTAAATATGGGAAAAAAAGATAATTATACAAAGACACATCATTTTAATGATAATCAAAATACAAAAATTATTCTATTCTTTGAATATATCCAATCTATCGTATAACAGGTCAAGACAAATTACTATTATCAAATCTATTATAATTAAGTCGGTAATAATTTCATTTTGTGAGATTTATCGCTGCATCTCTTGTCGTTATGTAATGTAAAATGTTTACTTTTCACGTAAAGTTTCTTCCGACAGACGCATACTTATCAAGATTAGAAATGTACAGGACCACTCCCGGTACAGACCACTGCAGCGCTAGAACAAGTACAAGTACAACAAGTAAATATATTTTACTTGTACGTCAAAAAAAAAGTACTTGGTACTTACACTGGATAAGCCATAATGAATGCTACATTTAAGTATCAAGTACTTTTTCAAAGTACAAATACTATCGTCCGAGCTCTCGACCACCTGGATCAGAACCACAAGAAAACAGTTTACCGGGATCAGGACTCAAGTTTATACTAAAATATTTTGATTTTAAGCACATAACTTGATAACTCATATAAATTAGCATATGATTTAAGAGTGATAACCCAAAAAACTGTTTGTCACCGACTCAATAAATACAAAAAAAAAAACATGTATCAGAAATATATTTTAGATGTGATACGTCTAAATTCTGGAATATTTTACTGTAGATCAGGACCAAAAAACTTAGTTCGCACATCTCTGATCATGGCAATATTTGAATTTTTTTTTTGAGTCTTCCCTAAATTGACCTTGCTTCATCGCCTATAAATCCACTTACTGATTTCTTCATTGTATCTTTAATTACTATTTAGGAAAATAAGTCTTCATCAGGCATGTTGAACTAACAATTTTCTCCCCCAAAAGTCAATTGAATAGTTAATAAAATAGACACGTTAATAAAAACATAACGGTCATCGAAATTATTTTCGAGAATAATAATTTTTACTAAATGAATGGATGATACGATAATGCATTGGTCTTACCTTATCAAACCAATTTCCATTTGTTTTCATTAGAATCTCGATATCGGACTCAGATCGCCGGGTGGTATCCAATGAATGTCGAAATTTGACAAATAATTGTTCAATAAGAGGAACATGTTCAATAAGTTGTTCCAAAAAACATGTATATTCAATATGAATATACAAACGACGAAGAGTCATACAACAAGTTTGATATTTAACATGTATTGAGTTTGAAGAAATATTATTATCAGATCTTAAAGATTGATGAAGATCAAGATAAGAATCCTTACAAATAATGTCAAGTCGAAGTAAAGTTAGTCGACATTCACTAGAGAAAAGTTGATGTATTAGTTCTTTGAACGTAGTCATTAATTTTTCTATTATATATCAAGCAAAAAAGGATAGAATTTATTTAAATTCAGCAAAAGAACTATTAATTACTTTCACAAAAACGATTTCTTGATGGTTGTTTTCGTTGTTGAGCTAATTCAATTATATCTTCATCTAATGTCAACATAAGTTCATCAAGTTGATGTTTAATAAGGAATGGTAAATTTTCAATTAAGGGTTTCATTAACAAACATCGAGTCAAAACAAGTAATTTAAGATTTGGAAAACGAAGAATTTTCGTATCATTATTAAAAAGTAATTCATTAATTAAATCACAAGCACTAGAATTTGTTCCATCAAAATGAATACGTCGAATACAACATGCAACTGATGATGATGATGATGAATCAAAAATTAATGGAAATAATATTGAATAATATTGACTAATAGATAAACCTGGTTCATTAATAACAATACCACTATTAAACTGATTATCAATTCTTGAAAGAATAGAACATATAAGAATATTAAAGCGTTTATTTAATGACCAAAATGATATTAACAATTCTGACCATGATAAATTAGAAAATATAATAAGAAAAATTTCATTTGGTAATGACTCAAATCTTCTTATCATATTATCTAAAATAATAAATGAGTATTGTTAATGATTATCAAACAAAAAAGAAAGACAAGAGTCTAAAAATTAGAACAAATATCAGAATACAATTTGTTCACATTTATAGCAGTCAAGCCGACAAAAATCTCCCTCTCTAGAGAATCTCAAACATCGTAAATACTGCCGGCTTGAAAATTTGTGTGCATAGTTTCTAAAGAATGTAGGTCAGACACAAAACTCTGCTTCAGGGACTTTATCATAAAGAAAATTATGATGGACATCATTTCATTTTTATTAAATCTTTTAATCTAAAAAGCATGGTCTACTCAATTGGGCCTTATCTTTTATTTAATATATTATTGATTCATGATATTTTTGAATGCAACTGGAGTTCAACCTATGATCGTTCTTTACGTACAAGATAAGTATATTAGCTCAAATATTGGCGACTTTGGAGGTTATGGGTGTACTTGAGATGAATGACCAGTCCCACACCTGCCAGGCCATTTTTTTTTCACACCAATAGTCATCGTTTAGTGGCCATACTGCTAAGGAAGTTTGACGAGGTTCAATGAAATTAGTTGCATAAATAGCGGGAATACAACACTACATGATAAACTGCTAGCTAATCTAGAAAGTTCATGTCTTCTGGATTAATAAAGTTCAAAGACGATACAGATGTCATCTATCATAATTCCTTTCTACTTAAGCAATCAACGTAGAACTGTCGCTGACCTACAATCTTTACGAAGTACGTGCGCATACATTTTTAGGCCTGTAGCATTCCAAATGATCTATAATAATAAAATGTGCAGTAATCGATTTTATTATCTAATCAGTTTAATATATCGAATTTGTTTCGTCGAAAAAAATTAAGTGAGAACGACACACCTGTACTTCAGAAAAATCAAGAACATTTTTTCATACTCTATACTCTGTCCTGGAGTGATTTTCATACCCTCGCTCTATCTTACCTTACAAACTTCGCACCTTTACCCTATCTTACGGACTATCTACCGTACCGTAAAATTTCCAGGCTTTGGTATGTATCAACATAAAGTTTTCTTCACCAAGTTTCAGCACATTTCTCTCTTTAAAACCTACCATGTTATATTTCTCTAAAATATAGCCATTCTGAGATATGTGAATCTACTGTGTATGCTTATTTATTAGAACATCATATTTTAAGCTATTTTAGTGTTTAATATTTTGACCATAATATAGTCATTACTGAATGAAATTCAAAAACACCTTTTTTTTTTACCAAAATAATCAGCGAAAAAAACTATGCAAAGGATGATATAAAAGAAAATTTTCTGGATAGTTTATGTTTTTATGCGTGACTACCCATGAACCTACGCAAATATATTTAATTCAAAAAATTATAATCTAATACATTCCATATCTAGTCGTTGCCGCTCATGATAACATAATAATATAAAAATCAGTTATATATTTATTCGAGATGGAGATATCTATTTCATAGCTCGTTTAAGGATAAATCTATTACTCATGCTCAATTTAGCTACAAGCGAAAAAGTCTATACTGTAAACTTACGAATAATACAACAAATTATGATATTTTATATGATGTCATAGAAGATACTTTACATCAAAAATATTAGGCAATATACTATGCGATTGTACAAATATCTCTTATTTAAGAATTATTGGCGGATATCAATAACAATACTTTTATTTGTCATTCATGATGATGTATACATATGAGCTAATTTGACGATCAAAATGTTGACCGATGAACATGTAGAAATATTCAATTGCCGTCTATTCTATCAAATGTAAGAAGAAAAGCTATTTGTCATTTGTTTATTAGACGACAATGCTGTCATAGACACTCAAAAGGGAAAAAAGACAATATTTATTGGCTCATTTCTTTGTCACACATAGTTGAACAGTACAAACTATTTTGGTGCAGAACTGCGAAATATGAACGAGAAGAATTTTTTTAGAGGATATCTAGATATTTGACAAAAATAAAAATCCAACATATTTGGATTTTAATCTAATATAAACATACTCAACAGTTCATATAACGTCGTATAATAACATGTAGTTTCTTATATTAGTAACTATGTATCATATATAATTCTTTATATTATGCTTTGACTTATTTTTCTTATCATGTTGTTCAATAGTGAAAATAAATGTATTCTTTTAGATAGTTCTGTAAGACAATAGAAGAAAAATAAACAGCATATATACAGAAATGAAAAACACAACTAATATGCAAATCTTCATTTTTTCATTGAATAAATCTTTAATACATAATCTTATTTAACAACTGATTTGCTTCAATAAAATATACTGTCAAAACTTGAAATTACAAATTAATAGATAAATTGTTAATTGATAAGTTTGACCCAGTTTTATTTCTATATTTTTATTCAATCCAAGTTTTATTTACATTTTTGATGATAAAATTGAAAATTCAAGTAATCTAAAACTTTTGTGATACTCACTATTTTATAGCGAGTGTAAACTATAAGGCGAGATTGTCCTACTCTCCTTCCCCTTCCGAATTAGCCTTAGTAATCGGGATCAATGTCATTGGGTACGAGTCCTTCTGTAGCAATCAAAGGCAGCGCGCACCAGGCTCTTTTTTCATAGTTCCTAGGTAACCGAAAAGGCACTAAACGGCATTGACAAAAAGGCTTAGATTGTACTGCAATATTGCCTGGCCTTTGTTGAAACACGTTTTTAAATATTCTAAATATTACAATTCCTCATTTTTACACAGAGAAACAAAAATGTGATATATATCATGAATGACGGAAAGTGATGTAGTGATTGACGATATTCATCATGTGATCAACTCCAGAAGCATAAACGGGTCAAGTTCTGCTATTCGGACATAATCAATATTAGTGCTTCTGAATTTATCAAGATTCATAATAACATGTTAAGATCTATTGTTGAATTAAATTGGTGTGTATAACTAGTTTATTTATCAGTTTAATCAATGTTTATAAAAATAAAAATAATAGTAAATTAAAAAAGATTAAACGGAAAATAAATGAATACATAAATAACGAGTGAATGGAAACTCGAAATGCAGATATAAATACAACAAATCGTTTGCATGATGATTGATGATGATCGAAAAGCAACTTTCGTCTTGTAGAGACTATTCTTTTAACGTATTTTATAGTAGTATAATGAAGGTGAAGAAGACATGTAAGTTCCACATTTTAGATTCAAAGGAACTGCGCTGAGGGTGTGGGTGTGGGTATGTCTATTCCATTTTCTACACGTCGACATCCACACCCACACCCACACCCTTAACAAAAAGATTCAACGTAAATGGTTTGTTGGAATTGCGATTCAAACAGTAGATAGAACAAATAGAGACTCCAAATGTTTACCCTGTCTGATCATTGACAAAATTGAAAAAGATAACAATGTTTTATATGAATTAGTTTGTCAGTATCGTAAATTAGAAAACACTTTTTCTGTCGAAAATTTAGTTGATTTACAATCAGCTTGTTGGGAAGAATTGAAATGATTTGTCATGGATGATTTAAAAGATATTACAATAGTTCAAGCATGTAAACTTTATGTTGATGGCTTGACAAGCGAACACACATTTGACTGTAAAGGAAAATGTGTCACTAAAGAATGTCTATATAAAAACGCACGATTGCTTTGCTCGACTAAATGTCACTCTGAACTAGGATCTTGTAAAAATATGGATAATTAAATTAGAAAATACTAACTGTAATTTGTTTGTTAAAAAACGAAATCGTAAAATAAAAAATGTTAAAAATAAAAATGTAGTTTTGAAAATGAAAATCTCTTTTTTCATTCAAAATCTGAATGTCTTCAACTTCATCACTTTATGTTCAGTTCAATTCTAATTTTATCCGGACAAAACTGGAATTCTAATTTTGTCCAAACACAATCTGGTCAAAACTCGAATTCTAAATTTGTTCGGTCAGATTTGAAATTTGACCAGATTCCAATGTTGACCGTAACATATATAAATTCTATAATGGATTATAATAAGGATATGGCGGTGTGAATCTTCTCTTCTCTCACATCCACATCTTCATCTGCAAGCCGTCATAAAAAGTTTCTGCAGACGGAGCAGAAATTTGTTTCACCAT